GGCTCTTTGGTCATTAGTGCGCATTGAAATGCTGGTTTAACCTTCATACTGCTTTGTTACGTGATGGAGCCTATTAAGTCTAAAAAGATGCTTTCCCTCTTAGAATCTGTTCATAATATGACACTAACTTTCCCTTTACAGAAGTGATAAAAACTGTCCTCTTAAGATATATTTAAGTAAAAATGAGATGACTCAGGAGTTCCATTTTTGCCTGTGATGAGTGTCATCCCCACTCAAATAGAAAAAAAATGTGTAGGTGACAAAACCATAAATTTTGCTGGATTTGCCAGAGAACTGATGTGGCAGAGTAGTCAAATAGCCTGAATTTCAACGCAGGACAGCCCCTCTAAGGAGAAATTGTCTATAGCAGGTATGGAAGGATGAAGTGTTGACCATCATACAGGCAGGTAAGAGAACAACCAAAATTATCAAAGAATTGTTAAAGGCCGAATTTGTGCTAACCTGACAATAAAAAATCCTATGAAACTGTTTTCAGGCAGCTGAGGGGTACCCTGGACCCCCAAAGTTGCATACTCTAAAGGGACTGGCTATCCATGTTCACAGAGACAAAACACTTAGCATAAACTTTAATAGGATTCGCATGCTTAGAGAGAGGAGGGAAGAAAGGATAATGGCTTCCCAATGAGACATCCGAAGTTATCCAGCCCCACCGGGTAAGTGTTCAGCCAAATAGAATCCGGCCAAAGTGGGGCCGCCGAGGCCTAAAAGCTTGCATAAGTCTAAGGCACCTCTGACAGGGAACCATAGGAGGGATCCAAAACGGGCAAGAAAGTTTGAGGTGAAAGTAAAACAGTGCCAAGATGGGGGACAGGTCTGTGGGTTCTCGCCCTGTGGGTTCTTGCCTTCGTAGTTGCAAGACACCCCTTAGGCTCAGGGTGCAACAACAAAGGGGGTTAGTGACAAAGGGGAGATTAGAGAGGAGAGAGCTTCTAAGGCTACAACTGACTGGCTGCCTCACCCCACACTGTCCACAGTGGCCAGTAATCCACAACAAAGACAACTCATGCAGTATGGCACTGTCCCTTCAATGAGGCCCTGGCATTGGTGGCATACCAGTAAGCAGTGGACCTGGTGGTGATCACAGGTGAGGCTGCTGAGGTGACACCACAGCAGCCCACAACAACAGTCGGAAAGCCAGGCTGTACAAGACCAGATGCTCCATAGGACAGTACCAGACGGTACCAGGCTGTAGTGCCAGATGATAAAAAGTGATGGACAGCTCTCAAAGGTATAGACACAGATTGCCAGTCAGCAGTCAGCACCAGTCACCAAAAGGTGGTAAGAGAGGCACCAGTGTTACAGCTTTTTGTGAGCTATAAGCTCTTTGAGACACCAGGCTAAGAACAGCAGTGTCCTTACACATGATGTCAGGGCCGGAGACAGAATAAGGTACAGCTGCAAAGGCCCACAAAGGTATGAGGTCTCTGGATGTTTCAGAGTATTTGAGGTCATCTGTTGAATCCTCCTTCTTCAGAGCCTGTCTGCTGAGTGCTCTCCACAGAAGCTTAAGGTAGAAAACTTTAGGATGGGAGGTCTCACAAGGACAAACACCAGAGGTGGTGGTAGACATGATTTAACAAGACTTAAACTAAACCTAAACCAAAGAGCTACTGAAGCATCCAGGAATCTAAGGTGAAGTTATTAAAGGTTATCAGTCAGACGTGTGGGCAGAGTATTATCGATCATTCCAACCTGATCCCAAGGCAGTAATTCCACAGTAACTTCATCAAAGG